CTGAAATAAACAAGAGAGAAAGGGTCCAAACACTTCAAACACTTCAAACGCTATCTAAATATATATATTTGATTGCTTGTCTGCCTCTTTCAAGACTTGAGGCTGCTATTATTGTTACTGTTTTATTATTATTATTATTATTATTATTATTATTATTATTATTATTACATTTTATTTCTTACCTACTTCTCCCCAAGTTTGAGGCTGTAATTGTCATTGTTGCTGTTGTTGTTGTTGTTGTTGTTGTTGTTGTTGTTGTTATTATTATTATTATTATTTCATTTCTCCCCAAGATCAGAGATGAGGATGATTATATTTTGTTTCTTAGCTACTTCACAAGACTTAAGGTTATTATTATTATTATTATTATTATTATTATTATTATTCTTACCTGCTCCTCCCTAAGGCTTCAGGCTATTAGTAGTAGTAGTAGCAGTAGCAGTAATATTACTATATTATTATTGTTATTATTATTATTATTATTATTATTATTATTATTATTATTATTATTATATTTCTTACCTGTACTTCCCTAAGGCTTTAGGCTATTATTATTATTATCAGTAGTAGTAGTAGTACTAATAGTAGTATTAATAATATCAGTATTTTATTATTATTGTTGTTATTATATTTCTTAACAGCTCCTTCCTAATAATAATAGTATTAATAGTATTAATAGCTTCAGGCTATTAATACTATTATTATTATTATATTAAATTTCTTACATGCTCCTCCCTATGGCTTCAGGCTATTATTATTAGTAGTAGTAGTAGTAATATTACATTATTATTATTATTATTATTAATAATATTATATTTCTTACCTGCACCTCCCTAAGACCTATTATTATTATTATTATTAGTAGTAGTAGTAGTAGTAGTAATATTACTATATTATTATTATTATTATTATTATTATTATTATTACTATATTTCTTACCTGCTCCTCCCTAAGGCTTCAGGCTATTAGTAGTAGTAGCAGTAGTATCAATAATATTACTATTTTATTACTATCATCATTTTTTTATTATTATCATTATTATTAATAATATTATTATATTACCTGCTCCCTAAAGCCTCAGGCTATTATTATTATTATTATTAGCAGTAGTAGTAGTAGTAATATTACTATATTATTATTATTATTATTATTATTATTATTATTATTATTATTATATTTCTTACCTGCTCCTCCCTAAAGCCTCAGGCTATTATTATTATTATTATTATTATTATTATTATTATTAGCAGTAGTAGTAGTACTAGTAGTAATATAGTAGTAGCAGTAATATTACTATATTATTATTATTATTATTATTATTATTATTATTATTATATTTCTTACCTGCTCCTCCCTAAGGCTTCAGGCTATTAGTAGTAGTAGCAGTAGTAGTATCAATAATAATACTATTTTATTACTACTAATAATAATAATTATATATTACCTGCTCCTCCCTAAGACTTCAAGCTATTAGTAGTAGTAGTAGTAGTAGTAGTAATAGTAGTAGTAGTAGTAGTATCAATAATATTAGGTAGGTAAAGGTAAAGGTAGTCCCCTGACATTAAGTCCAGTCATGTCTGACTCTGGGGTGTGGTGCTCATCTCCATTTCTAAGCCGAAGAGCCGGCGTTGTCCGTAGACACCTCCAAGGTCATGTGGCCAGCATGACTGCATGGAGCGCCGTTATATACTATAGTATTATTATCATTATTATTAATATTATTATATTTCTTACCTGCTCCTCCCTAAGACTTCAGGCTATTAGTAGTAGTAGTAATAGTAGTAGTATTTATTATATTATATTATGTCTTACCTGCTCCTCCCTAAGACTTCAGGCTATTAGTAGTAGTAGTAATAGTAGTAGTACTTATTATATTATATTATATTATATTATGTCTTACCTGCTCCTCCCTAAGACTTCAGGCTATTAGTAGTAGTAGTAGTAGTAGTATTTATTATATTGTATTGTATTGTATTGTATTGTATTATATTATATTATGGCTTGCCTGCTCCTCCCTAAGACTTCAGGCTATTAGTAGTAGTAGTAATATAGTAGTATTTATTATATTATATTATGTCTTACCTGCTCCTCCCTAAGACTTCAGGCTATTAGTAGTAGTAGTAATAGTAGTAGTACTTATTATATTATATTATATTATATTATGTCTTACCTGCTCCTCCCTAAGACTTCAGGCTATTAGTAGTAGTAGTAATAGTAGTAGTAGTTATTATATTATATTATATTATATTATATTATATTATGTCTTACCTGCTCCTCCCTAAGACTTCAGGCTATTAGTAGTAGTAGTAGTAGTATTTATTATATTATATTATATTGTATTGTATTGTATTGTATTGTATTGTATTATATTATGTCTTACCTGCTCCTCCCTAAGACTTCAGGCTATTAGTAGTAGTAGTAATAGTAGTAGTAGTTATTATATTATATTATATTATTATTATATTATGTCTTACCTGCTCCTCCCTAAGGTCTCAGGCTATTATTATCATCATTACTACTTCTATGGCTATTCTATTCCAGCCAAGGATGGAGGAGGAGAAGGCACGTCCGCTTGCACGAAGCCTTCCTGCGCGCTGCTGCTGCCTGCCTTTGCGATGCCTCTGCCCTTTCCTTCACCCAAAGACACAGTTCATCCCTCCCTCCGCTCCGTTTAATATATTATTATTTTTCCCTGGTCTAATTGGAAGATCAAGTTCCCCTTTGTCCGGTGTCACAAGGACGCCTTTGAGGGCCGATGGCCACCCGGGTCATGCGGCCGGCCACAGAGGCGGAAGAAATGCCCCCAAATGTGTGCAGAAACCAAGGATTATTATTACTGATGCGCCGTCCCTCCCAACTCAGACTGGGAGACTGGGTGGGAAAGGAGGCCAAGGACACCACCCACACCCGCAATGGGTGTATGTGTTTCCTCCACCACAGACACCCCAGTGTAAACATGTCCAAGAGCCCTGCCAATGTCCTCCACCAACGCCACACTGCCCACCACCTAAGGGAAGGTTTTCACACGGAGATAATTCCTTCCTAGATTGTATGTGTTTCCTCCACCACAGACATCACAGTGTAAACATGTCCAAGAGCCCTGCCAATGTCCTCCACCAACACCACACTGCCCACCACGCAAGGGAAGGTTTTCACATGGAGATAATTCCTTCCTAGATGGTATGTGTTTCCTCCACCACAGACATCATAGTGTAAACATGTCCAAGAGCCCTGCCAATGTCCTCCACCAACACCACACTGCCCACCACGCAAGGGAAGGTTTTCACAGGGAGATAATTCCTTCCTAGATTGTATGTGTTTCCTCCACCACAGACATCACAGTGTAAACATGTCCAAGAGCCCTTCCAGTGTCCTACACCAACACCGGACTGCCCACCACCCAAGGAAAGGCTTTCATTTGAGGACAATTCCATCCTAGATTATATGTGTTTCCTCCACCGCAAACATCACAGTGTAAATAATAGATCCATATGTATGTGTGTATGTGGCTGGGGTGTCCACTTACAGAGACACAAACATATATAACTCCGACTACTCAGAAGACACCAATTGAATGTGTTTCCTCCACCACAGACATCACAGTGTAAACATGTCCAAGAGCCCTGCCAATGTCCTACACCAACACCATACTGCCCACCACCTAAGGGAAGGTTTTCACACGGAGATAATTCCTTCCTAGATTGTATGTGTTTCCTCCACCACAGACATCACAGTGTAAATAATAGATCCATATGTATGTGTGTATGTGGCTGGGGTGTCCACTTACACAGACACAAATATATATAACTCCCACTACTCAGAAGACACCAATTGTATGTGTTTCCTCCACCACAGACATCACAGTGTAAACATGTCCAAGAGCCCTGCCAATGTCCTCCACCAACACCACACTGCCCACCACCCAAGGTAAGGCTTTTCGATCCTAGATTATATGTGTTTCCTCCACCACAGACATCCCAGTGTAAACATGTCCAAGAGCCCTTCCAATGTCCTACACCAACACCGGACTGCCCACCACCCAAGGGAAGGCTTTCATTCGGGGACAATTCCATCCTAGATTATATATGTTTCCTCCACCACAGACATCACAGTATAAACATGTCCAAGAGCCCTTCCAATGTCCTACACCAACACCACACTGCCCACCACCCAAGGGAAGGTTTTCACATGGGGACAATTCCATCCTAGATTATATGTGTTTCCTCTACCGCAGACATCACAGTGTAAATAATAGATCCATATGTATGTGTGTATGTGGCTGGGGTGTCCAATTACACAGACACAAACATATATAACTCCCACTACTCAGAAGGCACCAATTGTTTGTGTTTCCTCCACCACAGACATCACAGTGTAAACACGTCTTCCACCAACACCACACTGCCCACCACCCAAGGGAAGGCTTTCAGACGGGGAAAATTCCATCTAGATTGTATGTGTTTCCTCCACCACAGACATCCCAGTGTAAAACATGTCCAAGAGCCCTGCCAATGTCCTCCACCAACACCACACTGCCCACCACCTAAGGGATAGGTTTTCACACGGAGATAATTCCTTCCTAGATTGTATGTGTTTCCTCCACCACAGACATCACAGTGTAAATAATAGATCCATATGTATGTGTGTATGTGGCTGGGGTGTCCACTTACAGAGACACAAACATACATAACTCCCACTACTCAGAAGGCACCAATTGTATGTGTTTCCTCCACCACAGACATCCCAGTGTAAACATGTCCAAGAGCCCTTCCAATGTCCTACACCAACATCGGACTGCCCACCACCCAAGGGAAGGTTTTCACACGGAGATAATTCCTTCCTAGATTGTATATGTTTCCTCCACCACAGACATCACAGTGTAAACATGTCCAAGAGCCCTGCCAATGTCCTCCGCCAACACCACACTGCCCACCACCTAAGGGAAGGTTTTCACATGGAGATAATTCCTTCCTAGATTGTATGTGTTTCCTCCACCACAG